ATTGAACTATTAAAGGAATCTCTTTATGAACAAGAAACTAAAGAAATAGTTCCGGATGGTACTATGCGACAAATTGAAGATATGAAAAAAGAAATTGAACGATTAAAAGAAAAAGAAATATCTTATGAGTTCAAAGAAATGGCATTAAAAGAAATGGAGGGACTAAAAAAAGAATTGAGCGCACTTAGAGATATAGAGAGTGAATATATGATCAAAGTTGACGATTTAGAGCATCAATTGGCTGAAGCAAATGAAGAAATCGAAGAGATCACCCGATCTAAAACAGAATCTTTGGAAAAATTGACCGAAGATATGAACATGATGAAATATACGTACGAATCACAGATTGAGAACATAAAAAAGGAGTCAATTTCAAAAGAAGGAAAAGAAACTCGTTTCCGTAAATTACAAAATGCTCTCGAAAAAATAGAAACAATAGCAAGCACATATCCAGAAGTGACTCAAGTTTGTACTGACTTAAGAAGAATTAATCTTCTCCCTCCTAAAAAAAGACGCAAGTCTGCAACAGATTTGTCTAATAAAGATATATATGGATATGGTACTAAAGAAACACGATCAACTCGTTCTCCTACAACCAAAAGTCTTAAAAGAAGTCCATCTCAATCATCTCTTGGCAGAAAATCGCGAGCAAGTTCTCTTAGTCGTACTGTGAGCCCTACACCATCTGTATTATCAAGTGTGAGTGCCTTTAGTAGTAAGGACCTTCAGGATGAGGAAACTTTATATAGCAGCGAAGAGATAACTGAATTAAAAGAAAAAGTTGTAAAACTTGAGGAAGAAAATAAGACCTCCAATGAGTCAATAGAAAAATTGGAAGAAGAATTGAAACTACTTAATGAATCAAAGTCTAAACTCGAGGAAGAAGTAAATAATTTAAAGCAAGAAAAAGAGCATTGTGACCGTAAAATGAAAGAGATGGAAGAATTATTGGCAGTACTTCCTTCAGATGAACCTGATGATAACGATTCAAATGCTAATAAACCAATCTTATTACCTAATTCTCAACCAGTAATTCCTCCACAAAACTTAATCCAAGAATTAGATAACAAACAAAATATTATTGAAGAGTTGGTAGAGAAATTGAAAAGAAAAGAAGAACAATTAGAATATTATCAAAATGCTTATATAAAAAAAGTTGAGGAATATGAACAATTAGTTGAGAGAGCACAAGCCGCTGCAGCAATAACTCAAATAACATCTAATGGTACCACTTCTGAAGGAGGTGAATCTAGCGCTGTGAATGGCAATAGTGATCCTTCTAAAGTTCCCATTGATATATCTAATATTGAAAGTAAAGACTTTTCTCTTGCTAGCGATATTATGGATTTCTTTGGTCTTGGAGACAATCAAGTTTCTGCCATTGAAAAGCTCATCGCACAATTGGAAAGAACAATTGTCGAAAGGACAATGCAGCGAGACGCTGCTCATCAACGAGCGACTGATGCTGAGACTAAACTTTTGGCATTATCTAGAGAAAAAATGAAATGGGGAAGTGGTTATGATACAACAGTCAAGCAGCTTAAAACACAAGTTCAACATTTGCAAGAGTTATTACAAATGGAAAGGAAAGCGGCAAGAAAATCATTAACGAATGACTCTACACAGGATAAAACTGATATTCAGTCTGATTCGCAAGAATTGCTGTCACAAACAGGGCAACATCAACCAAAACCTACATGCAATGACCAGCCTCCAATGACAAATGATTTGACATCTGAGTTGAAAGATCTTCGTAATCAAATTGAATTACTGACCGCTGAAAATAAGAATTTAAAAGCTCAATTGACTACCTCAGAAGCCATAAGACAAGCAGTTCACGAAAATACTCTAACTATATTGCAACAAGCCAATAAATCTTCTCATACTACTGATGAAAATGTGACCGGAATAAGAAAATTAGCATTAGAAAAAGAAGCAGAAGTCAGTGTTTTGAAAAGTCGATGTGTTGGGCTGGAGAATGTAATTGAAAGACAACGAGAATTACTTTCTCTTATTGTTCCTTCTATAGCTGGTAATGCTACTACTATCGGAACTAAAAATTTGACGGATGGTAATGTTGGAGATATAAAAAAACTTGTTGAGGATGACGGTATTGATGAAAATACGCTTACGGGTCTTACTGAATCAGCAAAGAGATTGATCCAACAACTTCGAGAAGAAAACGCGTTATTACGCAAAGTACTTCCAATATGTCAACAGCAAATAAGTAAAAATGAGGATGAGCCTCCACAATATACGCCACCATTGGTGCCATTTTCATCATCTACACCTACATCAATCCAGCTTGATGCCCTTGCATCACAGATTTCTGAAATGGAGGCTCGTTTCCTAAAACGAGAAAAGGAGTTGCAGGATATTATTGCTGAAACAAAACGTCAAGGAGAATTACAACTAGAACGATGGAATAGTGCTTGGACCCAAATATCTAATCGGGTATCCGGATAGATATTCTATTTAATATTTCTTTATATTCTGGATTTATAAAATAGATGAATAGATGTTTATTCAATTACCCAATTCTAATCTGGTTTGTTTCTGGTTCACTTATGCGTTTTATTAGTTAATGAGAATTTTTGATTTAATAACGATCAACAAATATGACCCCTAATTTGTTCAATCAAGATATTAGCGTCAGTTTATATATCCAACTTCCATAGAAATCATCACCGAAAGTAAATTTTATTCACATATTGTCATATTTGTAATGTAAAATATGTTTTTATATTTGCTAAACCAAATAGAACAATTTTTTCTTTACAAAATTTCAGTATTTGTAAAAAAGAAACCCGGCAATTTAGTATCAATACTGTAGTAAAAATTTATAAAAATTAATATAAAATTTGTATACAGTATATATTTTCTAATTTTAAATATTGTTATATATTTAAAATTTTAAAATTTTTGTTATATATGTTTTTTTTATTTTTTAGATTGTAGATTATAGTAGTTTGTTTTTTTTAACAATTTTTAAAGTCTTTAAATAAAATTTGGTTTGATTATATTTAAGAATTATTTTTTTGCAATATTATTTTATATTTATATACTGTATTTATTTTTTAATAAAAATTAATATTAATTATAATTAAAAAATTTAATTAAAACAAATTACAAATATAATAAAAATTTCAAATAAACTTTAAATAAATACTGTAATAACTAAAGGCAATTTCTATTTGTACACTTGTGTATGAAACACAGGTATATTAATAACTCAAAATTTTGCTTATAAAACCACTTTTCGAGTTCTAATAAAAAAAAATCTACATAAAATTTTACTATAAACTACCCTAACTCTAACCCCTAACCTAACCTATCTTAGCTTTAATTTGATTTGATTTTTTCTTTAAATTTTGTTTATAAATTATAAATTATATCTGTATTTTATACACGGGTGTAAATTTATAAATTTTCATAACTAAAATTATACTGTATTTTATATAGCATAGTATAGTTAATTGTAATTTTTATATAAATATTTTGTATATACTGTATAATAGTATACTATAATTAATAAAATTACTAATTTAAAAAATTAGTTTAATTATTATAAAATACACCTATGGTGTTTAGCACCATATATAATTGTTTTTAATAAAATTTAGAGTTAGAGTGCAATTTTATAAATTTTTTTTTTTTATATATCATAATATATATTAGATATAAGTAGTACTTGGCACAATCAAACAAAAATTTGACAGTCAAATACTTGTTAATACTTGTGATTAAATCAGATATTAAATAATTGCTGATTAACCAATAGTATATATTTAGCTTTGGTTAATCTGCAATTAGTTGATATCCAATTTAAACATAAGTATTAACAAGTATTTAACTGTCAAATTTTTGTTTAATTGTGCTAAGCACTAGATATAAGATCTCAATTTTAGTTTTTATTAGGTTTTGGGGGTTCTAAACATTTTTACTTAGAATATCTGATCCTATTTACTTAGTATGTTTTTGAGAAATAGAAACCTATAGTATTGAATACTATAGGTACATTTTAGTAAACTTGAATTAGTTTACTATAATATAAAAAAATAGTTTTTTTAAAAAAATTTAAATTTTATTTGAATATTGTAAAAAAATATATACAATATATAGTACTATATTTTTAATAATTTATATTAATTGAAAATTTTAATCAAACTCTTCCTGATAATCCCTTGGACCAACTTTTCATAACAAAAATTTTCAACAAAAACAGTAAAACTATGCTAGAAAAGAAGAACATAAGACTAACAAGAACTATAAACTGGCACCTATTATTTAGAAATAGTTCTTATATACTATCTGCTAAGAGCACTGACAGATATTACATAATATTTTAGAAGGAGTAAAAAATTACCTTATACTATATATAATTTTATATAAAAAAGATCTTATATAGGGGGAGGGGGTACTCTCTATAGTAAAAAAATATTACATATTA